ATGATGGGTACTTCTATGTACTAGTACAGAATGAACTCCAGGACACATTAAATAAAAAAAGCAGAGTGGAGAAAAGGGTGTTAACTAGGTTCTTTAAAGAGATGATTCAGGTTAAATGAGGTCACTAGGGTGGGCTCTAATCCCATGTGACTGGTGTCCTTATAAGAAGAGGAGACACATGCAGAGAGAAGACTGTCTACAAGCCAAGGAGAGAGGCCTCAGGAGAAAGCAACCCTGCCCACACGTGGAACCTGGACTGTCAGAAAATAATTTCCGTTGGTTAAGCCTCCCAGTCTGTGGTACTTTGTTATGGTAGTCCAAGCAAACTCATAGTGCTCAAACAACTGGATGGCCATTTGCAAATAAACTTTGACCTTTATCTCACACCATACACAAAACTTTACTTGACACAGATCACAGATCTTTTATAGTTTTAGCTGGCATCACCCAGCAAAGCTGACCGTGTGAGTGCTCCAGGACTCCGCACCACACCCCAGGTATACACCTTGCACATGTGCACCAGAAATGTCCACAGCAGCATGATCTGTATAATAACCAAAAACTGGAAATAACCTAAATGCCCATCAGCAACGTAAAGGATCAATTTTGGCTTATTCATAAAATGAAATACTGCTCAGCAGTGAAAACGAACTACAGCTATATGCTTCAACATAAATGAATCTCAGAGAAACAGTACTGAGCAAAAGATCCAATCTGCAGAACACATACTGTCCAATTCCATTTCTATTAAGTACAAAAACAGGCAAACGTAAACGATATGTTGTTTAGAGGTATATTAAGTGGTGAAACTACAAAGAAAAGGAAGACAACAATTTACACAAAATTCAGTGGTGGTAACTTCCGGTGGTGGGAAAGGAGCACAAAGACTTCTAAGTTATTGCTAATGTTCTATTTCTTAAGCTAGGTGTCATGGGTACAGATGTTCATTTTACTACTTCATCTGAACATACACCTTTTATATACTTTTACATATATAATACACTTCACAATATAAAATGTTTTAAACAGCTAAAACAGGTTAATGACAGGGAAAGATGACAGTAACAGGAAGGACAGGCTGAGTCTGGTGGTTCAGGGAAGGCTTCTCCAGGGAGCAGAGCACAAGTGACGGAGACATCCAGGAAAAGGAAGTGCCCACGCCCCAAGAGGAGTGTGCCAACAAGGAAGTCGGGAGGGCTGGAGAGGAGGCTGCCAGGACAGAGGAGATGAGGTCGGGGAGGCAGGAGAGGGGCCAGAGCACGCAGAGCCTGAGAGGTCACTGCAAGGACTTTGGTTTCTACTGCAACGAAGGGTTCTGGGCAGAGTGACAAGACCTGACTTGAGCTTTACTGGGGTCTCTCTTTCTGCTGCGTTAAGAATAAAACCAAGTGGAGCAAGAGCTGAAGCAGAAGAATGCAGGACTGTGCAGCGCTGTGCAGGGCTGTACCTCCGTGCGCAGGCCTGTGCCGCGGTGTGCAGCACTGTACCATAGTGCACAGGACTGTGCCGCGGGGCACAGGCCTGTACCAAAGTAATCCAGGCCAGAGGTGAGTGCCTTGGGCCAGTGTGGGACTCTGGGGAAAGTCTGACGGTAGGACAACAGGTTACATGTGGATATAAAACAAAGTGAGGCATCAAGGACGAATCTAAGGTTGTGAGCCCAAACAACTGGAAGAAAGAGGCTGCCACCAACTGAGACAGAGAAGACTGTGGGATCAACAATGGTGCAGGAAGAGTAGGAGCTCAGTTCTATACACATGAGTTTGGGGTTCCTATTAGATACTGAACTGGGGTGAATAATGTCCCCCTGAATCTGTGAATGTGACCTTATTTGGAAATGGGGGCTTTGTAGATGTACTCTAGTTAAAATGAGGTCATACTGGGTAAGGGTGGGCCCTAAACCAACAACTGGTACCTTTATAAGAGGGAAGACGACCATGTGAAGATGGAGGCAGAGACTGGAGTTACACTATCACAAGGAACGCCAAGGATTGCCAGCAGCCATCGGAAGCTGGAAACGGCAAGCAGGGATCCTCCCCTAGAGCCTCCAGAGGGAGCATGGCCCTGCCCACACCTGGATTTGGCACTTCTGGCCTCCCGACTGTGAGAGAATAAACTTCTGCTGTGTTAAGCGCCCCCGGCTTGTGCTACTTTGTTACGGCAACCCCAGAAGACTAACACTCCAGTCTGTCTCGGACACTCCTAGGAAAAGCTAGATGATGCGTGAAGACAAAACATCAAGAAAAAGTATCAGCTTAAAACACCTGGGTTCTTTTCCTGACTCTCCCTTTTTCTACTTATAAGAATCTAGGCAAATCATTTTGCCTCTCTATTACTCAATTTCTCGTAAAATTTGTAAAATCAGAGGCCTGAACAGAATGATATCCAAGGTCCTACCACCTCTAAATTTCTGCAGTTCTATGACTATTCCCAAGTATAATCAAGTGTGCCTGAATACCCAGCCAAACCTCTTAAACCCCATGCCACACAGGGGTTGTTTCTGTCAAGTCTACCTTTACACTGGTTGTGCCACCTTAAAAAGTGGTAGGAGGAGAAACTAGACGCTGAGACATGAAAGACACGAAGCACTAAGTGGAATGTGACCGTGTCACTAAGATACAGCAACAATCACAAAACTCCCCTCAGTAACACACCGCGTTCACTTTCCATAGCTGATGTGACAAATGACCACAAACTCAGTGGCTTAAACAACCCACTGATGATCTCACAGTTTCCACGTGTCAGAAGGCTGGGCACAGCATGGCTCAGTTGGTTCTCTGCTTGGAGTCTCACAAGGCACTAGTCAAGGTGCTGGCATGGCTGCCGCCCTAAGCTGATCACGTTGTTGACAGAATTCGGTTCCCTGCGGCTACAGGATTGAGGTTCCAGGTTCCTTACTGCTGTCATGTTCCTCATCTCCTGGCCCCTCTTCCATCTTCAAAGTCAGCCAGGGCAGGTAGCGAGGCCCTCTCATACTATGAATCCCTTCTGCCACATCTCCCCTGTTTTGAGGCCTCTGTGATTACTGGTCCTACCCAGACAATCCAGGATAATCTCCCTATCCGAAGATCAATTATTGACTAACCTACAGATTACATCTCCAAAGTTCCTTCGAGGCAGTGCCTAGATTAGTGTCTGATGGAATAACCAGGGGATAGGAATCTTAGGGAGACATCTTTAGAGTTCTGCCTTCCACATACTCCAAAATTTCATAAACTAACACATAAAAACACACAGAATACACTTCCATGATACGTCTTTGGAAGTCAACCATTATTTACATTTTATTACTGCAAACTAATTGACAATATGGTTGAAATAATGGATGAGGCTTTTGTAAGTACAATAAAGGGAAAAATAATCTCTGCTAATGCAAATATCCCTAGGAAATACAAGTCCAACAACGCAAAGACTGGACTAAGCAGCAGCCTGAACTTAATTCCCCACGCAGGGGCTTAAAACAAATTCTTTCTCTACAGAAAAGAGAAAATAATACCTGCCCGCAGTCTAGAAACAGGGCTAAACAGACTAAAACAGATATAGAAACAAACCAGGATGGCGGGCTATGGTAGGTGTTCACACACGTCTGACCTCTTAGCCAGGTTTCCACGAAGAGATGGAGGCAGCAGCCCCCTCCCACCCAACCCTCTGTTCAGAGTGAACCATCTCTCCCACCATAAGTCTCTCTTCAATATCTGTTCCTACTTTAGAGGACACTGGGTGGTGAGCACTGTTTAAACATTTATTTTAATGAGCCTGCATGGTTTGCACACACCAAACATCAACTTACCCTGTGCAGCGCCCCAGTATGGTTCAGGAAATTCAGCTGCATGGTTACCAGGTAGTTTTACTACATTCCTTATTTTGGTTTATTTTCCACTTTCTTCTCTAAGTATCCTCCATGTAACGACAACAATAACAGCTAACATTGTTCAGCGATAGCCATCAGGTATCTTGCTAAGCACTAATCTTCGCAGAGGAAGCAAGCACAGAGGGAAAGGGCAAGGCCACGGTCAGAGGTAACAAGCAGAGGCAGGATCTGCACCGGGCTCTGTGGCTCCAGAGGCCCTGCTCTTCACCACACCAGGCCACCACCTCATCTCCACCAGCTAATCAGGACGCTTTCAAACACAATGGCACTCCACGACTTCTCAGGGCCGCTCTGCCAAGGAGCATTCGCTGTAAAAAGGTAGACTCCGGAATGTTCCTAGGTCCTCATCTCTCCCTCTGCTTTCCCCAAATACCGGGAAATCTTACTGGCTAAGAAAGCACTAAGGTTTTCTGAACACTACCTAGGAAGAGTGACAGGTGGCACTGTTCAAAAACTCCGTTCCCTCATTAAACAGAAAACCGAAACCTGACCTTTCACCTCAAACTCATCACAATGCGCTTTTTCTCTTAATACGCTTAACTTCTCAGTACGCGATTTAGGTTTTCCTCCCGTCCCTCTCACGGCATGTCTGCAAGGCCGGAATTGGGAAGTCCTCTAAATTGCCAAAGGGGCCAAAGACACAAAGAGACTACAAACACAGACAATGTAATGAAGCATTTCTAAACTAACACGGTAGTAACGCCGACTTCCATGTTTTAAAGAGTCCTCCTAACAAGTTTGTTCATACGTTCGAGAGGAGGCAGTGGGCAGGGCAGAGCGACCGGAGCCTCGACGGCTCATCATACGAGAACAAACCCTTCTCCAACGTGGACGCACGGGCAGACGCGGTGTAGAGAGCGCCCCTCCACGAACTCGGCAGCGACGCCCGCCCAGCGGCGGCCCGGGGCTCGCCGAGCACCGGACGGGGCCGAGCCGGGACGGGGCGGCGGAGGGCTGGCCCGGGAAGAGGGCGCGGGACGGGGGCCCGGGGGGGGGAGAGGGCGGGCGGAGCAGGACGCCGGCCCCGACGTGAGGCTCGGCGGCCGAGCGGGCCGCTTCCGGGGGGAGGGCGGGCCGGGGCCGCGGCCTCAGCGCTGTCCAGCGGGCTCCGGGCGGGCCGCGAACTCACGTTTGTACTCGGCCATCAGCCTCTTGAGCGCCGTCCCCGCCATCGTCCCGGCAACAGCTACGCCGTCCCGCCTCGCCTGCTAAGCGCTCAGCCCGCCCTCCCGGCGCCAGGGCTGCTTCCGGGTCGCCGCCGGGGCAGGAAGTCCTTCCGGGGCGAGGGGCGCGCGTGCGTACTGGGCGGCCAGGGGCCCTGGGGGAGCGGGGTGGACGGGCGGTGGCAGGCCGTGTCTCTCTAGTCCGTGTCCCTGCACCCGAGCGGGACCTTCAGGCGCCGTGCGGGGTGGCGCCGCCTCGGTCCTCCGAACTCTTGTAGGGCCCGCGTCGTCCAGAGGATGCGGGAGCAGCGAGCGCCCCGCTTGAGTGTCTCAACCGCCCGTTAGGTCGTCCAGGCCTCGGGAAGGTCCGAACACAGGACGCGGCCGCCGCGGTCTGAGCCGCCGAGGGGGACGGGGCGGGGTTCGGGGATGGAGGACGGGGATGGCGTGACCCCGACTGACCCGAGGCGGCGGGCGCCTGGACCTCCGCACGGGCCCTTGGCAGGCCCCCGGCTCAGATGGGTGCGCGGCTCCAGGGGGCCGAGGAGGGACTGTCCTCCCCCGCCGGCTCCCCGCAGTGTGTACGTGTATCGGATAACTGGCGAGTCCTTTTTTCGTGCTGTCCCTGGTGGTTCTACTCCGATGGACCACCGTGATGAGGTGCTCTATTTATGCTTCTCAGAAGCCCTTCTTACTGACTTTCAAAAAAGTAAACACATTTAGTTGTGTGGGCTTTTAAAAGAAGCTTTCGTCTCCGCGACACTTCTCCACACACTGTCGCATACGGTTTATTATGTGATGTCCTGCATAGTTTTCTAGCATAATAACTTCTTTTTGTCAACTTAAAAAGCAAATTGCCTGTTATTTTATCTCAAAATGAGTATACTTGGGAGGAGCCAAAACAATTGCAACTCAGGATATGACACACTATGACAAACCTCAGGCAAATCCAGAGATAGAGGAGGGGGCTGCTTGTATAGAGAAAAGGGGAGAGGGCAGGGCTGCTCTAAAGGGAAGTCCATTGGGGGAAGTAACAGTTCAGGATGGCCATGGCTTCTCATTGGCTGAGCTGTGGCGCTTCTCATTGGCCTGGTTGTTGCCAGGTGGAGTGAGAAGTCTTCCTTCAGCAGTAGTTGTACTTCCTGCCCGAGATGAAGCCTCCATCTCTTCCTGTCGGCTGTACTAGAGGATGTGTGATGGGGGTGAGAGCTTCCCCCTATGCGCCTTCCCACTCCAATTGAGTTTGGTTTCTTATTATTTTCCACAATTTATTTTAATCTATCTCCTCTAACCAGAAAACATGTTCCTGAGGGCAGGGAGTATTGTCTAACTTGTTCCTGGATGCAGCCTCAGTACCTGGACACGGCATAAGTACCTGTTGAATTGAATGAGGTTGAACATGCAAACAAACCTCACAAGTGTGCATATTTTAGGGTAGAGGTGTCACAAAAATTCAGCCCAATACTATCTTTTCAAATGACCATGGTGACTTATAAAAATGATATGGTACTTTTAGACAGTTTCAAAGAGTAATGGATTTGCACAAATACTCATGAAGTTCCCTTCTCCCTTTCCAAATAGCTGCCATCTCCTCTGATCAAACCACACACCAACTGGGAAGCCAGTCAGGGGTCAGCGGGTGTGGTTCCACGGGCGCTAAAGGGAACTCCACTTTTCCACTTAAAGAAAATGTGGGTGATCGAAAGCATTGTCATCAACAAGATGACCCTCAAAATAATTGAGCCTGTCAGATGCTTGGTATTTTCTTAATTGCATCTATCTTGGTGTCACTGATGTCTTTTTTCAGACATCATTTTCTTGTAGAGCAGTGTGTGTTCTTCAGTTATGATGTTCAGAAATGTGATTTCCAGCTCATATCAGGACTAATTTCAGGTTCAAGTGACAAAAACCCAAAATGTAAGTTGCTGAAACAAGACGGAAGTCTCTCACCTCCATGAGGCGGGTGTGACAGCCTTACCTCCAGAGAACCAGGCTCTCAACACATCTTCCTCCTCGTGGTCGTTCCTCTTCTTTATCTGAGATTTAAGTCTAACTAGGCAGCCTGTTTTTTAAATCTGCTAAGTTGGGCAACCCTCAACTTGGGTCAGTTGACACTGGTGTCCCAAGGGTTCTGAGTAGCAGCTGTGTGATACTTAATGGCTTTCTAAGCAACACACACTGGGGAGGCCAGCAAGTTGAAAATAAATTTAGTGTCTTTTTTATCTTTGGCATCTGAAGCTCTGAAGTATAAAAAGATCTCACAGCTTAACCTGTGTTTTATGGTAGAGTTTTAATAGTCATACCATGCTTCCTCAGCTGTGCACTTGTGCAGCACAATTAGAGTGACACCACCTTAGTTTTCCTGGGACCAAGGGGCTCCTGGGATGTGGGACTTTCAGTGCAGAAACTGGGAAAGTGCCACTTGGGACCCGGTACACCAATAACAGGATAAATAGGGTATATCGCCTCCTGAAGCATCATTAACCCAAAGACTCTGAGAGTTAGGTTCATGTAACAATATTTTTAAAACTATAAGTACCAACAGATCCATTATTCCTAATGCACAATTTGCATACATTTTTAAAATAAAAGACAACCTCAAGGACATATCCTGCTCTTTCTTCTACTGTCAGATGTTGTGGGTGGAAGTTCAAGCAGCACTGTTCTAACGCTCCCAAATCAACTCTCAGCCTTGCTCTCCTAATTTAAGGCACCTTGACACATCCCTCTCAAATGCAGGGGCTCCTCTGCTAGATTTAACCACCCCACCCTCCATACTCTCCAGGGCATCTGGCAAATGACTCCAGCTCTGGAATGTGCTTTAACCATCTACTTCTGCTGGCATCAATGAATCAAGTGCTAGAGTGGACGTGCTCTGTTTTCCAAGCTGCCCTTGATCTTTCAACATGTGCTCACCTCACCTGATGGACTAATTAAAACAGCTCAGTCATTTTCAACCCTAGTTTTGTCACAGCATAGTACACTGGTAAATTCTCAAAATTAGTGTTAATTCACTTCAGTTTCAAAGCAGGTAAATGAGCAGGCTGTTGACTGCACAAAGGAAAATAGTCCTACACTAATGTCCAGGTTCATCTGCCTGTAAAATCTACCCTCTCTTTACACACATCCAGGAAAGGAAATGTGTCATCATGATGCTGATTCAGCTCCACCTCGAGAGCTCTGTGAGGAGTGAGAGGATGCACCCCTCAGCAAGAACATGTCGGGCCGGCAAGGAGGATCTGCCAGGGGTGTGGAGGGGAGCCGGCAGGTGAATACTTACTTTTCAGCAACTAGCTTTTAAATCAGTCTGAGGGGCCTCACTGAATGGTCACTGCAAATACTGAATTGTGACAGTATGCCCCAACCTCCAAATGCAGTATTTAATACAAGCCAAGAGACAGAATACCAAACTATATTTACTGTTTACAGTAGTAAAGGACAACAAATAATGTACAAATTGGTGAATAAACACAACAGAGCCAGCAGCCGTCCCACCCATGCCCAAACAGCAAAACACAAAGGAAACGAGAACATCTTCAGCAAAATTTCAGGCAAGCAAGAGATGAGAGTCGTGGTCACACTGTCCAGGTGACTAGACAAGGCAGAGAAGGCCATACGGCAGCAGTGGGTCCATACAGAAGGACAGTAGGAGAACTATCAAAGTTTGGTACAGATCCCAGAATGTTTCACAGAACTGAAATCACATACTAATGCATAAATTCCATACCTACTTGGAAAGTGGCATAGCACAAGTCCATGAGAAGAACACGAAGTCATCTTTCCATGGGCTTCATTTGTAACCACGCTTTGAAGTAGCTCTTTTACACAAAAACATAACTGCAAATTCAGCAATACTTAATCTTACATTTTTATAGAGAGACCATAATTATTCATCAGAAGCAAATACTAGAAGAAATCTGAGGCAATGGCACTAATACCAAGTGAGCAATGTGGGAATTACTTTCTTCTATATTAAGAAAAGAGGAAAAGCCAATTTTCACTGTGCAAAGCTTTGCCCATGCAGCGTCTCTGGCACTGGGCAGTGGGTGGCGATGGGTCCTGGGCCCCAGACCCTGCCCAAGGGATGCTCAAGGAACAGGGCGCCCAGGCCCACGTTACTGAAGGACTTTTTACCTTTTAAGAAGCATTCCAGTATTTTCCCTTCAAATTTACCATATTCTGACAAAACTTAAATTTGCAATATTTAGCATTTAAAAAACCTGTACCTACAAGAAATAGTAAGTGAAAATTTGTCTCCCAGCTCCACCATGCCCCCAAAACTTGTCCAACAGAAGCACCCCTACTGTGGTGGCAGAGTTCTCTACATGACTGGAACAAGCAGTGGGGACGGGAGGGGTCAATACCTGGGACAAGATCCCCGTCTGGACTCACAGTGGACGTTCAGGCCACAAGTCTGGGGGACACGTTATAGGAGGGTGAAAAAACAAAAGTGAAAGCAAAAACAGACCCCAAAACCTTGCAATTCATTTTGCCTAAACGAAGATGACGACCAAGATTGGCCCTATTTGGTGGTGGCTCCGTCCCTGCGGAGAGTGGAGCTGCACTCGCAGTACGTCAGAGAGGGAAGTACTTTGGGTGACTGTCCTCGGGTGTCTGCAGACTCCTCTGTGATTGGCGTGGTCACGTGTTCACTATTCAATGACAATGCAAGGACGGCGACACGGTGGGCACGGTCCCTCTAGAGGCCGCACCCTGAGAGGCAGCTGGTCTCCCTCGAGCCTCCCGTCTGCTGCTGGAACACGTCAATGGTGTCTTCATCCTCCATCTCCAGCTGGCAGGGTCGTGGTGACAGGCACAGCAAGAGAGGGGGAAGCTGTTAGTTTTATCAGCATTGCAGGAACGGAAAACACACAACTGAATCCCGTGCTCGCTGAGCTGTCCCCCCGCACTAGAGAACACTGCCCGACTTGCTCCGTGGCCTTCCTCGAGGGTAACGCGCAGGGAGAACAGCTTAGGTTTGGATTTCCAATAAGCCCTACTTATTCACTATGCTTCCCCTAACAAAACTCACAAAATAATATTCAAAGCTAAGGACTTGAACTAATAAAAAGAAAAACTGAGTCTCATTAAAAAAATAAACAAATGTCTAGGGGCCGGCCCAGTGGTGTAGCAGTTAAGTTCACGGACCCCGCTTCTGTGGCCCGGGGTTCGTGGGTTCGGATCTGAGGCACTGACCTATGCACCGCTTATCAAGCCATTCTGTGGCGGCATCCCACATAAAATGGAGGAAGATGGGCACAGATGTTAGCTCAGGGCTAATCTTCCTCACACACAAAAAAAATAATAAAAAGAAATAAACAAGCATCTAAAATTTTTACTGAAAATTACACAAAATCAGATTCCAATTAGAAACATCCGATGAGCGGCATGGAGTCCTAGGGACCAGCAGGGGCCACACGCTTTCTAACGAGTGCAGTGGATCATGACTGTGAAATCCAGAGCAAACTAAATCACAAAGCCTCCACTAGTGTAAGAGATCCACTGCTGGCTCCCCCTGCTCCCCTTCCCTCTCTCTCACGACAGGGCAGAGACAGAGATGGCGCGAACTCCTCCCGCCCGCTTCTGTCTTTCTCACATAGTGGGGACATGAACATCTACTCTGATCTTTGTCATTCTCTGAACAAATGGAAGCTTCTGCCAGTTCATACAGAGACTAACCAAGGCCAGAAGCAGTAACAGTTCCCAGAAATGGAGAGAAGTACCATTTGTGCTGGCAGGGACCCTCTCCTGCTGCAGACATTGCCTGGGCGGTAGCCAGAGGTGACAGGCTGGAGGGAGAACTGGGCTCCTAAAGCCAGCGAGCTCATCACCTGTGCTTTCCAGCCTCCCCTCGCCCCCCAGGACAAGCCCCACCTAGGAATCCTCACAGGGCCGACCACCCTGTCTTAGCAGTGGAAGGCTTCCTAAAGCGAGCAGATATAAAACCTCTTGATATGTAGCCCTTTCACATAAACCAATCGATTGATTCTCACAACTCTGTAAAGGAGAAAAAACATCATCTCCACTTTACAGTTGGACAAGACTGAGACTCCAGAGATTCAGGGGCTCTCGATCACAAGGTCGTCCAGCTGACAGAGGACGAGAGCCGCAGCTTGAGCCTCAGCCATCTATTTCCAAGCCCAAAGCTCTTCCACTACAGGGGGATGCACTATAACACGATGGAGCGACGCTTGTAGATGTGTGTGTGAGGTGGGCATATGCTTAAAACCTCTGCTGACTGATAACCACGTGTGTGCCTTCTCCTTTCCACCCACACCCACGTGCATAAATATTTAAAGGGCAGGAGAATCAAGCCAGTCATTTAGCTACAAATTGACTAACATTGCAAACTCAGTGTCCAGAATATGCGGGTGGTAACTGCGTCTGTCCCGCACGTCCGTGAGCCTGGACAGCCTCTCTGAGCGCCCGGCCCCCTGCTCCACCTCCTGACATGGAGGGCGATGTCTGACAAAGTGCATTTTTCACATTTTGAAAAACTGAACTTGAAAATTAAAAAATCAAATAATCTAATAATTAAAACCATTAAGAAAATGTAAGGTATTCTCTATGAGCACCAATCAGTAACTCTCATGTAAGAGAATTACGAATGATCAGTGCAAATCGGAAGCTGCCTCGCGTGTCTACAAAGCCGGCTCTCATACCTGTGCTGGGGTATCTGTTTCATTAATTGGTTGCCCATCAAACCTGAATCTAATCTGCCTCATTGACAAGCCCTGAAAAGAAAAAGCAATTATCATTAAATATTTCCAGATAACACATTAATCCAAAAAAATCAAATATTTATATCCAAATATCAGAATTCTGAATATAGATTTATGATCTGTTGATTATAAAAACTTACCAGTGGGCCTACAATCTATTTCATGCGCTGCCCCAACACTAGTACTTTCAGACACCTCTGTCCTCATCTCCCAGCCCTGGTGCCCTGCCCTTATCCACTCCTCTCATTTCCCTCCAGAGGCCAAGCAGAACTGCGACACTGTTGGTACCACCATTTCCTCCCCTTTAAAAAATTCTCAGAAACAGGTCAGGTGACAATGATGCATGTCATAAGAAGACTGCATGAGACTAGCAAGCAGTCCCAATGATTTTGGCCCTGAGAAAGGCAGCGGAAGGAGGGCGTTTTCCATCAAAAAAGGAGTCCCTGTAGCCTTTCTGCGTCCTGAGGGAATGGTGAGCATGGTCAGGGTGCAGAAACATTTCCTTTTAAAAAGCAGTGCTGACTTCACTAAACAGCACAGATAGGATTAAAACATGCATTCCTGCTCCCTCCTGGAACCCTTCTGAAAAGACATAAAGAAAGAAAAGGAGCATAAACAACAAAGAGAACAAGACAGGAGACCAGCAGACCAGGGACATACAGAGACACACAAATGAGAGAACACGCACACTGACACACATATGCACGCAGACACACACAGGAGCGCACACACACACCTGCACGCAAACTAACACACAGACGTGCACACACATGCTTCCAGGATGATGGAACCCTGAACAGCTTGGACATCTGGTGATGTTGAGTCACTGCTAATTTAAGTGAAATGAGTCACTGCTCATTTTTAAAGGCAAAGGCGCTCAGTCTCTGGGTGGCTGCTCTCGGGCCCAGGCGCACCTGCCTCTCGCAGTAGGCCTTCATCAGCTTGCTCAGCGGGGTGTGTCTCTTGATTTTGAACTGGACCACAGAGCCGTCCTGCCCAGCCACCTTCAGGTTGATGTGGTCGTTCTCTGTCTTCACTCCCTCCTGCAAAAGAGATGTGAAACTGGGCCTCAACACCTCGTCTCAAAATAGCCACCATTTTAAAGGGCAAGTCTTAGGTAATTGCTGGGTTTTTTTTTAAGTCATTAAAACCAACCTAATTCTTAAAATTCTCTAGCAATCCAGAGTCACTCATGTGGTTTTTATTCTTATACAGAATTTATTTTAATTTCCATTTGTTAAGCATCCACATATAAGGAAATGCAATGCAAATCTACAGAGTTTTCACAGATTGTTAATTCAAAGAAAAAATCTGCTTAATAAATCTAGAAAAAAACAGAGAAACCCATCTTTGGTATAAGGTTACTCTTATGAAACTAGTAAAAACACACATTCACAGGTTATCTATACTTATTTAGGACTGGTAAAATAAACAAACCCCCTCACGACAGAGGAGACCACGGCAGGTGCAGCCGTGCTGGGAGGCCCAGTGTGCACGGAGCTTTCAGCTCCCTGCTGGCCACGACAGGCGCGAGGGGCCCCGTCCCTCATGCAGTTTCTAGTTTCGGCCAGTCCGACCTCCTTGGGAGTAATTCAGGGTGTTTTATCTTCACGAAACTCACAATACACTCAAAGCTCCTGAACAATCACGAAACTGGGACACACACTCTGAAGTGATGCAGGAAGTCCGAGTCCAGGGTCGGGGCCAGCGGGGCGGCTCAGGCTGAGAGTGAGGCCTGTGACCCAAGAGGGACGCCCAGCATCCTGCTCCGCGGGCCAGCGCACCTCATGTACTTGGCACCGCGTGGGAATAGGAGTCGTTTATTTTTGAACAAAACCACGAAGCTGACCCCAGTCCATCTGAAAGTACAGTTTTGATGGAAACCGCAGTGTTTTTTGCATGTCCTCCTGCTGACACTCCCATCTCTTCCCTGTGTGTCATCTGTCATGCGGTCATCTGTCCTGTGGCTGGAGGAGCTGCCCACCCGTAGGGCTGAGGGCCAAGCTCTGGGAGGATTCCATGCTCCCTCCGTGTCCACGCCTCTTTTCTCCCCGGGCGGGGCAGGGCCCTGGCTCCCCTCCCTGAGCCCCTGTGAATAGCCTCACAGAGGGGACCAGGATTCCCTCAAGGCCACATCAGTTCTTCGGCTCCCGGAGATCCCAAGTGGGCGTGCTCTGTCCGGAGCTCCAAGTGGCCGAGAAGTGGCCCCAGGAGGGTGAGACTCAAGCACTGGGGCTGAAGGCAGACATCCTGGGGTGGCCCTTACACCCACCGCAGCTGGGGGCCAGCTCGGCCCTCCCTCTCTGCCTCGGACTCTAGTACGGAGAGAAGGAGGCGATACAAAAAGGGGCACTCAATGACCCGAGGCCAGGATGCAGCTGGGGTCCCCAGCCCTTGGACTAAGGATGCATATGCTTTTTTTTTCAAATAAAGACTTCATTTTGAAATAATTTTACATTTACAGAAGAGTTGCAAAACAGAGATGGAGAGAGCTCCTGCATACCCCTCGCCCAGTTACCCCTATGTTAACATAGCACACACCCATGGTACACTGTCACACCTAAGAAACCAACACGGGCACATCACCAGCAACGAAACTCCAAGCTGTTTTGGTATTTCACTACTTTTTCCACTAACGTCCTTTTTCTGTTCCAGGATCCAATCCAGGGTACCACACTGCATTTAGAGATATGATTGTTTTTCAATTTTTTTTATTATGTTACAATACAAATAACATAAAATTTATCATTTTAACCATTTTCAGTGGTATTAAATACATTCAGAATGTCATACAACCATCATCATCATCCATCTCCAGAACTCTTTCCATCCCGTAAAACCGAAATGCTGCCCCCATTAAACATTAACTCCTCATCCCCCTCGCCCAGCCCCTGGCACTCATCATTCTCCTTTCTGTCTCTAGGATTTTGACTATTCTAGGAAGCTCATATAAGCAGATTATACAGTATTTGTCTTTTTTGTGACTGGCTTATTTTACTCAGCATAACATCCTCAAGATTCATCCATGTTGTAGCATATGTCAGAATTTCACTCCTTTTTAAAGCTGAATAATATTCCATTGTATGGATAGACCACATTTTGTTTATCCACTCACGCATCAATGGGCACTTGGGTTGCTTCCACCTTTTGGCTTTGTGAATAGTGCTGCGGTGAACATGGGTGTACAAATATCTCTTTGAGACTCTGCTTCCAATTCTTTTGGATAAATATCCAGAAGTGGAATTGCAGGGTTGTATGGTAGTTCTATTTTTAATTTTTTGAGGACCCTCCATACTGTTTTCCACAGCAGCTGCACCATTTCACATTCCAACCAGCAGTGCACAAGGGTTCCACACCCCCATCAACATTTATTGTTTTCTATTTTTTTGATAGTAGCCATCCCAGTAGGTGTGAGGCGGTGTCTCACTGTAGTTGCGAATTGCACTTCTCTAATGATTACTGACGTTTTGAGCATCTTTTCATGTTCCTTTGGCCATTTCTATGTCTTCTCTGTAAAAAGGTCTGTTCAAGTCCTCTGCCCATTTTTGAATTAGTTAGCTTGTTTTTTTTAATTGTTGTCATTAAGTTGTAGGAGTTCTCTATATATTCTGAATATTAACCCCTTATCAGATGTGCGATTTGCAAATATCTTCTCCCCTTCTGTGGCTGCCTTTTGATTCTGTTCATAGTGTCTTTTGATGCACAAAATTTTTAAATTTTCATGAAGTCCAATTTGTCTATTTTTGTTGTTGCCTCTGGTGTCATATCTAAGAAATCATTGCCAAATCCCATGTCGTACAGCTTTTGTCCTGTTTTCTCTTAGGAATATTACTGTTTTGGGTCTTACATTTAGGTCCTTGATGCATTTTGAGTTAATTTTTGTATGTGGTGTTAAGAAGGATCCAACTTCATTCTTTTGCATTTAGATAGAGGACACATTTGCTTTTTTAAAGAAAAGATATGGATGTGTTCAAAACAAACAGATGCAGGGGCCAGAACACAGAACAAACAGAACCACAGGGCAGGGGCTGCAGACCAGGCAGCGGAAGGCAGCAGGGGAGCCTCACAGGGCCACTGGGTGCCCTGGCTTCCTGGGGAGACTGGTGCAGGCGGAGAAGGCGCCAGGCACCTCTCCCCTCTAACACAGGGAAACCAAGAATGAGCAGCCTGTCCCAGACCCCTGGTGAATTCCTAATAAACAAAGAGTAAAAGAAATAAAAGAAACCCTGAAAACAATGACCACAATTCACTACCGTCAATCCCCCGCCTATCCAGAGGGGGCAGAAACTGTTTTCCGAATCGACCCACAGGTTTTCTTTCCACCCCCAGGACAGCTTGGGAGTGAGTCTCTACCCCCCCTCTCCAGGCCCAGAGGAGAGAGCAGCACGAGAGCCAGCAGGCACCGAGGGCACGGTAGGCAAGAATGAGGTGTGAGTGAGGCACAACCATTTAGTCGTTTGGGAAGCAGTTCAAACAAGTTTATTCAACTGAATTGGACCATGGATGTGGAAGACATGGGAGAGTTAAGTTTACACACGCTGAAGAAATGAGTATCATATGTATCTCACTGTATTTAAACTTCAGTAGGAGGAAGCCACCCAGAAAAACAAAGGCAAGCATTTCCCTTTGGCCTGGAGGAGTGGCATAAAAGGCTGAGTGGGCAGCAAAATGTAAAAAGCGATGGCGGCTCCGTCTGCATCTGGAGGCCTTCCTGGGGTGTGGCCTTTTCTCAAAGCACAGCAGGCAGAGTGCAGGCTTCCACTCTCCCTCCAGACCACCGGCTCCGTGCAGGTCCACCCCAACCCCAGCTCTGCCACCTGCGTGCACTGGGGACACGCCAGGCCGCAGTCTCAGCTGTGGAGGGGGTGCAATCTCCAGCACCAGGCTGGCATCAGGGGAAGCCTATGTGCAAAGCATTCAACTCAACAGCAGATCTTCCATTTGGTCAAAACAACAGACCCCAACAGTGCAGACAAAAAGCTTCAGGAACTTGCTTTTGCAGTTACAACCGTGGACCTCCCCAAGAACTGACAGCCAAGGCATCGGAGTGAGGAGAGCCAAATGGGGACAGGTGGAGGCACACCAGAGGGCACCACGGAGAGGGGTGGGCAAAAATCCCCAGGAAGAGATGAGGAGGGGCAGGTGCACACCGGAGGACAGCGACGGGGAGGGGGGCGCACCTGAGGACAGCGATGGGGGGCTGGGTGCACACCTGAGGACAGCGACGGGGAGGGGGGCGCACCTGAGGACAGCGATGGGGGTGGTGGGCGCACACCTGAGGACAGCGTGGGGAAGAGCAGAATGGCGGGTGCACACCCGAGGGCGCGGCGGGACGGGCTGCGGTAAAGGTTGGCAGTGTGCACGGACAGGTCAGGTGGCCTCGCCGCCTGTCCCCAGGTGCGCCCTCTCGGCGCCCTCTCGCTCCGCAATGAGGGCTGGGGAGGGTGCCCCCTCGAGACGCCTCAGCAGACAGGGCCAGGGCCGGACCCGCGGACCGCGGTCCCGACGGGAGGAGCTGTAGTGGGGGAGGCTCTCCGCGAGGGAGGGGGTCCTGAGGAGGGGCGGCCCTGGAGAGAAAGTGGGGACGTGGGCTTCCCGTTGAAGTCGGGATTGGGGAGTAAAGCCAAGGCTGGAAGGCCCCGGAGCGGGGTAACGACGGAGGACGAGGGAGCGTTTCTCCGCGAAGGGGGTGGCAGCGTGCGAGATCCCCGCACCCCGGGGTTCGAGCGCGGGTGGGCGTGGACGGGAAACCGAGCAAGGGCTCCTGGGGAGTGTGGGCCCAGACGCCGCAAGGCTCCCGGAGTCGGCGGGTCCCGGCTAGGAGAGCGCCGTAGTGGCGGGGGATCTCGGCGAAGGGGAGGTTCCCTGCGAGGAAAGTCCCCGCCCGCCCCAGACCGCGTCCAAATTCCATCCCGGGCGGGGCTCCCGGGGACGGGGCGGGGCCTAACCGGGGGCGGGGCCCGGGCAACCGCGGGGGCGGAGCTCGGAGGGCGTGGCAGTCGGGGCGG